GTGTTTTTTTTTTTTTTTCCCCCCCCCCGTTTTTGATCAACTTATAATTTTAGAATAAAGATGGCCGTCATTTATGCCTGCTTTCTTCATGTTAACCTTCATATTGTTTTATTTCTTATTTGAACAATACAGTTTACTTCTTTTCACATATAGTCTAAAAAAAAAAACAATGAAAACATATGTTCTAGGTTTATACATTTTCCGGTGGAAATGTGTTAGATAAAATGAGTGAGAACTGATTGGAAAGTGGGAGAATTAGGCTGAAGACTGCAGTAAACTAACCTGTGCTTTCTTTTAGGCTAAACACTGTCTGATAGTAAAAGGAGGCAGATCTGACCCCTCTCAAATATCTCCTGAAAAAACTAGCCCCATGTAGTATACCGGGTCAAATTTCTCATTATACATGCTTTTGGGTGGGTTGAGGTTTACTGTTGGGTCGTAGCCACCTGTACTCTACATTGTCCTCCTGTTCCTGCCCAAACAACATGGATGCTCTTGTGCATCCAGTGCTGGTGTGAATCAGGATAAACGCACATCTGTCTTTATTCCTTCACATAGGGCAGGATTGAAAACTGAATAAGGACATAGGTTATCCTAATGCAGTGTCTTACTCTACATTTGGCTGAGGTTTCCTTCCTACTTTTTCTTGTTCATTTTGGTTATTAAAGGAGAACTATGGGGTAAGTGTTTTTCCCCATAGTTCTCCTAATGGTCACGGGTGGACACAAACTAGTGTCCTCCCGTGACCCAAAGCTCAGTATAATGCAAGCTACAGCTTACGGTATATGGAGAACGCCGCAGCCGGGACGGACCCCGACATTACTGTCGAGATCCACCAAGCTGCGTGATTGACAGCTGGCTCTGCCTATCTAGAGCCAGAGCCAGCTGTACCCGTCCGTTCTGCCACTCAGCGCTGGAGGATTGGAGCAGGGAGGGGGGGAATCCCTGCAGGGAGCTGTGAGTGACGGTCACGGCTCTCTGCAGGGACAGGATCCAGAAGGGAGCGAGCGACAGTATGTGTTTGCTCACTTCCCGATCTATTGAGCCGACGTGACAGATTAATTGTCACACGTCGGCTCTAACTATGAGGTTGAGTGAAAATCACTTGCCTCATAGTTCTACTTTTTAAAGAATAGAGTCAGAGTACAATAAACAATCTTTAAATATCAAAATTAGGTTAAGAGTGTAGGGTTAAAGGATGCTAAACGTATAAGAATCATGTACAAAAAAAAGGGGTTCCAAGCGCAGCTGGTTCAAATAAATAGGTATCCGGTGCTCAACGAAAAGCCCCCCCCCCCCTATCGCTAAGCTTCCTCAGGCTGTTGTAGACTGTAGGTAAGGTTCAGATAGAGACCATTAAAAATACAGAAGGGAAAGAAGAAGAAAGCTGTGAAAAGAGAAGAAAAACGTCCGAAGGCACCGTTCCCAACCCAGAGGGGACTTGGACGTAAAAAAATTAGTAGTGACCGTTCGTACATAAGTAACTAGCCTTCAGGGCTCTAAGAGTGTGCTGTCAAATCTCGGAGGCAGAAAATTACCAATCCAGGGCTGCCACACTGTAGTATATTGGGGGATTGTATCCATGATAGTAACCTCGATATTTTTCATGCATCATAAATTGTGTAACTCTGTTTAAGTTCAATCACATTTAGGTTAGATGTTTTCCCTGCCTTGGCTATGGTTTGTTTGGCAGCCGTATGAATTTACAGTTGCAAATGAAAGTGGGCATTAGTGATCTTATCCGGACATTTATTAAGTAAAGCGTGAGTCGGATCCACAGTTAGCTCACGGTTCAATAGAATAGATGGCATCTGAAAAAACTTTTTCCAAAATGATTTTGCCACAGTGCATGTCCACCAGATGTGGAAGTTTCCTTGCGACTAACAAAAAAATAAGGTATTAAATAGATCTAAGACTGAAGCATGGAAAGGCAGTGTGCACTTACCACTAAATCATGCTCAATCTGGCTAAATGAGAAGCTTCTTTGTGCAACTAGCCTAAGGTTGAACCTCTTTTTGGTTTACAGAGATGAAGCTGAGATGGAATATCTGAAAATAGCACAAGACCTCGAGATGTATGGAGTAAATTACTTCCTCATAAGGGTGAGAAATTGATGGGTCTTGTCATTATTTGTTGCCACTTCTAAAGCCATCAGTAACAAAAACATATGAACTATAACGTGCAGAGTTATGAGTGTGATAAACTACAAACACAATAAAAATGCCAGATGTTCTTCATAAAAAAAAAAAGAAGAATCTTCATGTTTGACACTGACATTAAAAATGTATCTATACTAAAACTTTTTGTTCTAGTTTTGCATAGAATGGGGGATGGTTAAACCCCATGGCAGGTTTTACTGCTGTCCAGGGCTCTATTAGAGTGATTTCCACTCACGTTCTGTTCTTTGGCTCTTTAACCAGACTGGAAGTGAGTGAAAATGTGCAACAGCTAAACCAACAACAATAAAAATCCATCCGATGTTCTAGCATTCCCCTACTTCACTTCATTTCTGAGGTTGTTTTATATTTAAGATTTTGTCACGGCATTGGAGGGATACGTCTCTTTAAAGTACAGAAACTGTCTTGTAATTGCCCCATGCAGACCTCAAATGCAAAGTGGAATTGCTGCTCACTGCTCAGCCCTCTGCCACACAGGGTGTGTGTGTGTGTGTGTGTGTGTGTGTGTGTGTGTGTGTGTGTGTGTGTGTAGTTTCTTAGGCTTTCATAGACATGTTTAACTCTAGGACCATAGAGATGAATGGAAGAGCCATCAACTGGGTTCTATCGCTAAGCTTCCTCAGGCTGTTGTAGACTGTAGGTAAGGTTCAGATAGAGACCATTAAAAATACAGAAGGGAAAGAAGAAGAAAGCTGTGAAAAGAGAAGAAAAACGTCCGAAGGCACCGTTCCCAACCCAGAGGGGACTTGGACGTAAAAAAATTAGTAGTGACCGTTCGTACATAAGTAACTAGCCTTCAGGGCTCTAAGAGTGTGCTGTCAAATCTCGGAGGCAGAAAATTACCAATCCAGGGCTGCCACACTGTAGTATATTGGGGGATTGTATCCATGATAGTAACCTCGATATTTTTCATGCATCATAAATTGTGTAACTCTGTTTAAGTTCAATCACATTTAGGTTAGATGTTTTCCCTGCCTTGGCTATGGTTTGTTTGGCAGCCGTATGAATTTACAGTTGCAAATGAAAGTGGGCATTAGTGATCTTATCCGGACATTTATTAAGTAAAGCGTGAGTCGGATCCACAGTTAGCTCACGGTTCAATAGAATAGATGGCATCTGAAAAAACTTTTTCCAAAATGATTTTGCCACAGTGCATGTCCACCAGATGTGGAAGTTTCCTTGCGACTAACAAAAAAATAAGGTATTAAATAGATCTAAGACTGAAGCATGGAAAGGCAGTGTGCACTTACCACTAAATCATGCTCAATCTGGCTAAATGAGAAGCTTCTTTGTGCAACTAGCCTAAGGTTGAACCTCTTTTTGGTTTACAGAGATGAAGCTGAGATGGAATATCTGAAAATAGCACAAGACCTCGAGATGTATGGAGTAAATTACTTCCTCATAAGGGTGAGAAATTGATGGGTCTTGTCATTATTTGTTGCCACTTCTAAAGCCATCAGTAACAAAAACATATGAACTATAACGTGCAGAGTTATGAGTGTGATAAACTACAAACACAATAAAAATGCCAGATGTTCTTCATAAAAAAAAAAAGAAGAATCTTCATGTTTGACACTGACATTAAAAATGTATCTATACTAAAACTTTTTGTTCTAGTTTTGCATAGAATGGGGGATGGTTAAACCCCATGGCAGGTTTTACTGCTGTCCAGGGCTCTATTAGAGTGATTTCCACTCACGTTCTGTTCTTTGGCTCTTTAACCAGACTGGAAGTGAGTGAAAATGTGCAACAGCTAAACCAACAACAATAAAAATCCATCCGATGTTCTAGCATTCCCCTACTTCACTTCATTTCTGAGGTTGTTTTATATTTAAGATTTTGTCACGGCATTGGAGGGATACGTCTCTTTAAAGTACAGAAACTGTCTTGTAATTGCCCCATGCAGACCTCAAATGCAAAGTGGAATTGCTGCTCTCTGCTCCGCCCTCTGCCACACAGGGTGTGTGTGTGTGTGTGTGTGTGTGTGTGTGTGTGTGTGTGTGTGTGTGTGTGTAGTTTCTTAGGCTTTCATAGACATGTTTAACTCTAGGACCATAGAGATGAATGGAAGAGCCATCAACTGGGTAGACGACATAAGCACTTGGAGTATTATGAACAAAACCTCCATTTTCCTTTTCAATACTAAAGCTAACAGGATTTAGTATTGCCCTTTTGTAAGGCTTTTAACATAATACATTACAAACTCTGAACAACCTTTAAATCATTTCTTGTACTTTGAAAAGCACTTTACATTTCTGATTATCAGGAACAGCAAGGATATAAAGATATGCTGTTTATTCTTTTTGAAGCCTATACTCAAAGGGTCGTGTAGGTTGTTTTGCTTCTATGTTGCGATTAATTTCAAAGTAGACTGTTCACATCTGTATTTAACCTGGTCACCTTTGATCAGTTCATCTTTGTAAATGAGAACATCAGCCTATAAAAAAGAGAGTATATTTAAATGACAGAAAGTGTGTCTCTGATCCAGACGCTTTATCGGTGGGTTAACTATAATCCCAGAATTTTTTCAGGCATTTCTTTAGTTGAAGTTTTCTCTTGCTTATTAGACAGAGGATTGTATGCTTTTGTTGTGTGTGTTTTTAATATATTCTAGTAGACAACGCAGCTTTCATATGTTTAGGATGGATGTACCTGTAGCTCCCATTTTACACCTGAGCATTTTATTGTGTCTTTTGTGCAGTTCCTATATACAACATTGCGCAATATCAGAATTCTATTCTTTTTTTATTGTGGCAGTTCACATCTTTACGCTCAGTCGTTTGGAGCTGTGTAACATGTTTTTGGCCCCATAGACTTCATTGAAAATGCCTGTACCTGAAGAACTGCTCTCCTCCTCTAGAACTGCTTTCCATTATGCATGTAAAACCGCAAATAAACACTATACACTGAGTGGCCAGACTATTATGACCACCTGACGTTTGTAGGCAAATTCGCTATAATTTCGCACTGAAGTTGCTAGAGGGCCAGACCATTATAAATAGGGCAGCAGGTTGTTTACCACAACAGAAGAAGTGATTTTTTGTTTTCTGAAGATATGGGTAAACAACGCGATTTAACAGCCTTTGAACGTAGGATGATTGTTGGCGCTTGGAGCTATGTAGCGAGTATCAGCAAAACAGCAGAATTAGTTAAATGTTCAAGAGCAGCTGTTGTTAAAGTGTTTAAAGACTGGACTGTCAGCCTGAAAATCTGGGTCTGAACGTACGAATTGTGGCCGTCAGCGACTAGTCAATGTTAGGGCAGAACGGAGAGTGGCAAGACTGGTACAAGACAACAGAAGGGCAACAGTGCATCAAATTACTGCAGATCTTAATCCGGGATCCTCTCAAATGATCTCTGGACGCACTGTTCGCCGTACACCGCATCGTATGGGATATGGAAGCCGAAGACCTGTTCGAACAACTTTGCTGTCTGCAGTTAACAAGATAAAACATCTCCAATTCGCACAGGAACACAAGGATTGGACAGTCGAGCATTGGAAATAAGTAATGTGGTCCGATGAATCACGTTTCCAGTTGCATCATGCAGATGGCAGAGTGAGAATTTGGCGGAAACAGCATGAAAGCATGCACCCCACATGCATGAGTACAACCCTTCAAGCTGGTGGGGGCAGTGTTATGGTTTGGGGCATGTTTTCCTGGCATGATTTGGGCCCTTTAATTTGTGTGGAACAACGTCTGAATAGCACAACATACCAAAGTATCGTTGCTGATAAATACATCCTATCATGTTGATGGCGTATCCCAATGAAGATGGCTTCTTCCAACAAGACAATGCGCCATGCCACAGTGCTCGTATTGTGCAGGAGTGGTTTCAAGAACTTGAGGGAGACTTAACCTTGCTTAGGTGGTCCCCACAATCACCAGATCTCAATCCAATTGAGCATTTGTGGGACGAAGTTGAAAGAGCCATTAGGCAGCTGGTTCCACAACCATCAAATCTCACAGAACTGGAGAGTGCTATTCATCAGGCATGGTGTCAGATTCCTCGCATCACCTTTCAACATCTCGTGGAGTCAATGCCAAGAAGAATCGCCGCAGTATTGAAGGCAAAAGGTGGCCCAACAAAGTACTGATGGGGTGGTCATAATAATCTGGCCACTCAGTGTATGTAGGATATAAACTTTGGGTGCTGATGGGTGATGACTAACTAGATTTTATCCTGTTGCTTTTCACCTAACAAAACGTATCACTGTGACAACCATAGCCAGTGTATTTTTCTAGGTTATTTAAAGAGACCCTGTAGCCTGCCCATTCAGGGCAAAGTTACTATCTTCTGATGCAGTCTACCCCAAGCCTCCCCCCTCCCACTGACCCACACTCCTTGACTGCCTCCCTGTGCAGGAGTCCACTGTGGGTAAGGTACAGTGTCCTAACTTGCCCGGCTGAATTACGTCCCTGTCCTTCCCCACTCCCAGCTGTATTTAAGGCACTCTTGACTAATAAATAAAACTCAAAATTTCTGTTTGTGTAGATAATTATTTGACTTTTTTTTTGTTGTTGAAATTTTAGAACAAAAAAGGCACGGAGTTACTGCTTGGGGTAGATGCCCTTGGACTGCATATTTATGATCCAGAAAACAGACTTACCCCTAAAACCTCCTTTCCGTGGAATGAAATCCGTAATATCTCTTACAGTGACAAAGAGGTAAGAGCAGCCACTTTCTCTGCTTGATTTCAAGTGGCCATTGCTTTACCCCAGGCGTATGATAAGGTTGTAATATGTGCAGGAGTTCATTAAAAACACTGTTTTGTGATTACAGTTCACCATTAAGCCACTTGATAAGAAAATTGATGTCTTCAAGTTCAACTCCTCCAAACTGCGGGTCAACAAGCTGGTAGGTTGCCCATGAGAGCTCTGAAATAATCTTTTATGTCAGTGATAATGATGGCGTTTCCTGGTAATCTGGGAAGATGTATATCACCTGGGACTAATGCATTTTATCAACTTCAAAGTAGCTGATGCAGAATTAAATGAGTGCATGTGAGATTGTTCTTTTATCTGACTCTGTATGTTGTTTTTTTCTGATAACAGACTTAAGCTGGCCATACACCTTACAACCATCGCAAGACTTTTGTCTTGCGATGGTTGTACGGTAATTTAAAAAAACTTATGATCTGCCCATCTTGGACAGGCAGATTGTACTTGCGATCATCGCAAGGCCGCCCCGCTGAGGGGCGTGCTTCAGGTGACTGCAATGCCGCACAGGCAGTGTGCTTTTGCGCATTTGTCTCCCGAGAACGTCACTAAGGCCCCATTCACACTGAGCGACATGAAAATCGCGCGACTTTGAGCGATATTGAGCGACGTCTTCCTATTGGGCTGTATGCAATCAGGAGCAATATCGCTCAAAATCGCTCGAAAAAAGGGTCATGTAGGAGCGACAAGCTACCAGCGACGAGCTACAAGCGATATTGAGCAACGAGATGTGAACAGCTCCATTTGAAATGGATTGGAGAAGCTACATAGAGCGATATCGCATGGAAATATGAGCGATATCGCTGCAAAAATTGCTCAGTGTGAATGGGTCCTAACCCGCCGACAATCGTACGATTCTCAAGCCTGCTCAGGAAACAAATGACGTGCGACCGTAATGGTCGCACGCCTGCCGATTATCGTACGATCGCGAGATTTCCCGTGATTGTCGTATGATAATCGGCAGATGTATGGGCACCTTATACATTTTAATTGGAATTCCAGTTAAATAGTAATAACACCCTTTAGTCCAGTTATGTAACATATTAAAAATAAATAAGGCACACAAAAATAAATGTCCTTGATCTACCATTATTATAAAGGGCTGTTGTCTGCTTGGAAAATGTCACCCAGTAGTAGGTTTCCCCATGATTGCAGAGATGGGCAGTAATGTCACAGGAGAAAATCGTCCTAAGAACATATCCTTTAGCTATCAAATGGGTAGTGGTTGAAACCCCAGCCATACACTTAAGGAAGAACTCTGGGTAGCTTTTTTTAATAACCTTTGAACTGCTCATTTTGGTCTATGGCTGAAAATAACAAAGATATACCCACCTGATCCTCCAAGCCTGGCTGGCTATTACAGCACTCCCTGAGGCCTGTCTCCTACGCTGCAACAATGGAATGTCCCTTGGCATCCTCATGTCCTATACACTGAGTATAGAATGTAATGATTACAGAATCTTAGACTGCTGCAGCAGAGAGATGCTCCAGGGACCGGTCTAAAAGCAAGATCAGTTGAGTATAACTTTATTTTCAGCCCCAGTCCAAAACGAGCAGTCAACCCTTGCAGTGTGGGGATAGTCCCACTGCAGGGGTTAATAACAAAAATTACCCAGAGTTCTTCTTTAATGCATATAGTGTATGTGGGAATTGTATTACTGCTTCTCTTGTCTTTCGTGCCTTGTACATTATTTGAAAAGGCACTCAAAATCCAGATTTAAAAAATGTCCCACCCTACGGAGTGAAAGTTTGTAAAAATTGCACTTAAAATATGTACAATTTGCACTTGAAATATGGAAAATACAGCTACCCCGTCTTCCTCTCTGTCAGTCATGTTGTCTGACAAATAGGGGTTGTATTTATAAAAAACATTTGCAGAGCCATTTGTCCTGCAAAACTGCACGCATGTTCAATTTGTGCGAATGGGGACAAAAAACAAAACAATGTTAATACATTTTTGTTCCAGGATCAATGTAATATCAGGAAAATACAACATTATAGCCACTAGGTGGAGCTGAACAGGATAGGAAGAAAGTATTTCCTGTGCTCCATCACTCTAGTGGCCATAACTTTTGCTCACCAACAAACATAAATTGTCATTCAGCCCACAGTGCACACTCGGAAACCTGAGTAATTCTATGATGGAACAATCAATCGGCTTCTGTGGTTAGCCCTTTTGCACTATTTTATTGGCCCATCAATGTGATGTCTTTAACCAAATAGTAAAGAGGAAGGAGGAGTAACAGCTATATTAGTAACTTCTAAGTCCGTTTACTGGTTTTCTAACATCATGACCTCACATATTTGGGTTCTCTGGTCCTTATTAAGGACGACCAAACTAATGTTCAGGTACCTAGATGTGCTTGCATTTTTGGATAAGTGCCAATTTAGTTTTCGATCGTAAAAAGTTTCAAAGTTTGTAAAAACCCGAGTTGATTAGTTGTGCAGTTTGTTTCATGGCATGGCAGGTAACAACTTGCCTGAATATGTTCTCTTTTATAATGTAAGTTGTTGTTTCCAGATTCTACAACTGTGCATTGGGAACCATGACTTGTTCATGCGGAGAAGAAAAGCAGACTCCCTTGAGGTGCAGCAAATGAAAGCTCAGGCCAGGGAAGAGAAAGCAAGAAAACAGGTGAGTCAAGAGTTGCATCGTCTAGCTAATTACAGGTGCTTTGAGCAGTTTTAAATGTAAAACTGTATTTTGTTATTCTGCAGCCCATAGTCATGGGATTGCAGCCTGTGGATCCAACTGCTGGCATGCTCTTCATTTGCATGTGCGGACTTGCTTTTGGTTTTGAATGTGTGTTATAAATTGATACTTCTGTATATGGTTTGTAGGCTTCATAAGCTGTTATTTTTGTAATGTATTTTTGTGTATGTTGTATAATGTACTAGTTCGTTAGCTGCAGATCCCTTTACAGGTTCATAGCCATGGCACAGCCCCTTGAAGACCCACTTGTAAATATGCCCATGTTTGTGGCAAAGATGAGCTGGAATGTCACCTTCAGGCACTGGGCTCTGCATGTGGTGCTCCTCAGTCTCCTTGCATACTGTGTTAAGGTGCCCATACACCTGCCGATTATCGTACGATGATCGTAAGGTGTATGGGCAGCGTGCGACCGCATTTACTCACTCACTCATTACGCACGATTTTCATATTACGAGCACGCTAGAAAACCCGATGTCTTGCGATGGTAGCGCGTATCGCAAGACAAAAGTTGCACGGGCCGAGGTTTGCAAGTGCACACTGCCCGCTCACCATTGCAATCATCTGCAAGCCCTCCCCTCGGCGGGGAGGGCTTGAGATGATCGCAAGTACGATCTGCCTGTCCAAGATGGGCAGGTCGTACGAACCTTTTAATCACCTTACAACCATCGCACAACGAAAGTCATGCGATGGTTGTAAGGTGTATGGCCAGCTTAAGTTAGCTGCAAAGCGCTCTCCTTGGTCCAGGAGCATGGTAAGCCTCTGAGGACTCTCTAGTCATTCGGCCCGCGGGCCTTGTGTTTGCCACCCCTGCTCTAGTCCTATAGACATTAGCATGGCAGTCTATGATTTCTCCCACTGTTAAGCTCCACCATTATATTTTCTGTTCTGTCTGTTTCCGAAGAAGAGGTTAATACGCTGTAGAAGTTATTGCTACGTCACTATCCGCTTTGTCGGCAGTGCTTTCTACACCATTCCTGCCTTTTCAGTGTGAGGTTGTTTCTTCCTGCCATTGCTCTATTTGCAAGGGATATGAGGTTGTTACCTTCGTTGATACTTGCTGTTGTCTACAGTGACTTAGTCACTCTGGCCATTATAAACCTCTCAGCAGCTGGTTTATGAGTACCCGGGCTTTTTGCTTTAAAATAAGTTGCCTCGGCCCTACCTGCACTTTGCTGTGAGCACAATACTTCCAGGTTGCAACCGTCCCATTTTGTCCCTCTCTTCCATGCCCTGAGTATTCACCTAGATATTAGCTCTAGTGCTAGCTTACCATGCTCCCAGGGCATTCCCATTGTGTTTGACACACTGTTCAGATCTTTCAAAGGTGCAACTTGATCCTGAACCTTCAATGATCTAGCACTGCTGCAAGAACTGACTAATTGCTTGGAGATCTGGGTTTTATTATGGATGCAGCTCAGTTCGGAGCCAGGTTATCTCTCTTCTGGTGGCTCAAGAATCCAGCCCTCGTGTCCAGGAAGTCTTTCCTTCTGATTTTCTTGGATGATTCTCATGTCAGGTGCTAGCCTGACAGTCTGTAGAGGAGTTCTAGACACCTCTACAGCCTGCGGGGGACTTTATTAAGGGTAGAAACTTGTCTCCCGATCAGCATACTGGTGTTTCAAGCAATTGCTTCTCCCTTCTACGCTAGACTTTATTAACTGCAAGGCCTTCCAACCGGGATTAATTCAGACAATGTTACATACATCACCCACCAGAGAGGAACAAGAACTGTGTGAACTGACCATGTAAATGGGTAACATTTGCTGTCAGGCTGGATAGTCTGCAGAACATGGGTTCAGGCATAATTCATAGCATCGTCACAGTTTTCATACTAGCTGTTTATTGCAGTATTAGGCACTTAATCATTGAAATGCTTGCCAATCATCTTTTTACATGTGGTTGGATTATTAAGGCACAGCTTATGTAAACATGTGCTATTCAAAAACCTTTTGCAATAGTGTTATTATTCATTACAAGCTTTTTGCAGTTTACAAAGCCCTATTTAATCCTTATAGATAATCGGTCCAGCCCATGGAATTGCTATCGTGCTTGGATCATTATGGTGTTGAAATGCCTATTTCCAGTTCAACTTCGACTTTTTTCAACTTCACGTTTTGACGTGTGAATGTATAGTTGATGCAAACTGTCCAGGCACTGAAGCAGCAAAGCAACACCGAGCCATAACATTTCCATCACTATGCTTCACAGTTGTTATGATTTTTCTCCTGAAATGCTGTCTTTGGTTTGTGGCAAACATGTGTAATGTCACTGTAACTACACAACTCTATCTTTGATTCATCAGTTTTCTGCATATTATTCTAGAAGGCATAAGCTTGTATGTTCCGTGGCAAACTGTAGTCTTGCTCTGCAGTCCATTTTGGAAAGCAAAGACTTTTTTTTTTTTTTTAGCACACCTGTCAGGCAGGTTGAATTGGTGTGACCTTTCTGATTGTAGGTGTATGCTCCAGGAATCAAGGGGGTATAGGAAGGACATTTTTCACCAAAAATATCCGCGCTTCTGTCCCCTAATAACCCTAAGGCCCCGCTCACACTGAGCGATTTATCGTGCGGTAATTCCCGCGATATCGCGGCAATTTACCGTGCGATATCGCTCTCCAATGCTTGGCAATGGGGCAAAGGGTCCTGCTGTCGCGGGTCGTGCGTCGCTACAGCAGGACCCTTTTTGGAGCGGGTTTTGACGCGAGTCAATGCTTTTCAATGCAAAATGCAAATCGCGCGATTTGCGAATCGCCTAAACTATGCGACTGCTGCAGTGTAAAAACAAGTGTGAGACCATTTCCAGTATGTTATAAGACAATATTGGATAGCGCGGTGTGTTTTGTCTTATAATGTATAGGAAGGCAATTGCTCCTGCACTTGGTTAGCGGCCTTTTAACCTGGAAGTGGTTAAAAGAGCATTGAAAATAATCTGTGATGAGAAATTAATGAAGGCTGCCATTTCTTCACCTTTCTTTTTGAAAATGCTAGTTCCCTGGCAGTCATGCTGATGGTTTTGATAAGTGTCTCTGAGTTACTGACCCATAACAGATATAGACATAAATGGTTCTGACACTCTTCTGTCATTTGCAGCATGCTTGTTGTGGGGTCTGTAAATCAAAAGTATTGAAGTTAGAGAAAGCCAGGTATTTATTATTTTTAGGAGCAGGCCTGCTGCGTCGTCCCCTTTACTTTTTTTATCACAGACTCCCTTAATACATCAAGACCAGTCCTCTGTCATCTTTCATTATTCTGTGCTTTAAACGTGGAAAAAGTTGGTTGCTATGTTGTAGTGCACTCCATTGCTTTTTGCAATTGTTTTGTTTTTTGCCTTGTTCAATCACATTGTGTGCTGTATAGGGTGCGCTGGTTAGAAATGCCCTTGAGAACACTTGTTAACAACAGATAAAAAAACATCCTAAATAGGACATATTGGTGGATTGAATAACTGTCCTATTTAAATGTAATGAATACATAAAAATGTCATAGAGTAATTCACAGTGACTACATCTAAAGGTATGAGTTCCTAAGTAAATAGGTGCAGATGTACTGAAAGCTTTAAATGTAATAGTTATTGATTTTATTTTCTTTCTGCAGCTTGACAGTTGTAGCGTTCCCTTCCCCTGTTATTGCACTGCCATCTACACTTTTTCAATTTACTTCTAATGGAGGATTTAAACAGCTTTCCGGGATGCTTGAAATTATGATCCAGAGCACACATCTCCATGTATCAATTCTTTCACAATAAATGAAATGAAAGGGTGCCTTGAATGCCCCATTACTTCATTGCATAGCATCAGTTGATCTTTGTGTAAGAACTTCCCAGAGTAGATAGCTGTCTCTGTGATCAATCGCTCCTCTACGGAGAGGAAATGGTAGTTTACCATTCAAGAGTTTGATGGATTTGATGCCACCTTTCGACAGTGTAGCTGCACTTAACACATGCCCCGTTCTCTTTTGTGATAAGGGCAGGGTATCGCACATGCACAAGTAGATGGCCGGCCCAGTCCTTTTCTGCAGTGTGCGTCTTAGTGTGATCTGCAATTACCCAATCCTCTGATGACAGCTACGCTAAGTGTGGATGCTGCCGGACAGGAATGTTAATGCCATCAGAGGGAATGGGCCGTCGCAGTGTGACGCCTCTGCAGCATTTAGCATTCAAACACACGGCCTGAGCCATCGACTCATCTCCTCCCGCTCACTCATCCATTTTACTAGCCTGACTTGCATACAGATAACTTGCACTGCATCTTTCTGCAATTCCAGCCTCAACCACAAGGGGCCACCATTTATTAACAAAAAATAAACTTGATGCCTTTGTTTTGCAGTGCCAATATTAATTATGTATTTTTTGTAGCCTGTGCATTATTAATATTACAGTTATTATGTTAACAAGGTTGTATCATTTGCAGTTTCTGCCTTTTTTTTCTTATATTTTGGTTGATTTCAATAAGGAATTCAGGTTTCCAGTTGTAGCACATATTACTCTACAACTTCTTTGCTATTAGGTGACACATCAATATATATTATGTACAATGTTTGTGGTGACATTCAGCACATTGAATCTATTGGAAAAGCTGTTGGCAAGAAGGAGCACTCTCTTGTTGAGATCATTTTGTCTGACTTTTTACTTCTGTAATGCATTCGCATTTGACCTCTAATGCCATCAGGTGTGTCTGTAATGGAGATCAATATTCTGTATAAGGACAAGCGTTCGCACGGTGTCATTTTGCAGAGTACACAATTTATAGCACTTGGGTTGGGTCTGTTTTTGTTTTTCCAAGGTGAATGAGGCATGCCGCAGTAAAAAAAAAAAAAGTAAAAATGATTTCCATTTCGGGGTAGTTTTAGGATTTTGCTGTATTTCAAAGGTGCAAGTGCCTGTTCTGGACTGTAACCATGACAGAATTATTACAACAATTAAG